TTCGTTCGTCGTACGTAGTCGTACTTACTTACTTACTACTACTCTACTAGTGTAGTGTAGGTAGTACGTAGTACGTACTAACGTACTACTACTATATCTCTCTCTCTCTCTCTCTCTCTCTCTCTCTCTCTCTCTCTCTCTCTCCTCCTCTCTCTCTCCTCCTCTCTCTCTCTCTCTCCCTCTCTCTCTTTTGTGTGTGGGAAGCTGCCTTTACAGTCATCTACTCGTCTAGCTGCTTTAGGTAGAAAAGGATTCACACTCCCATTGGCATTTTTTGTGACTCTAAGCTGTGCAGGTGGGCAGTACCCTTTCAGATCCGTACCTTTCATTTGCGGCTGCATTGAATGGTTTAGCTGGGCCCCTTCATGGCTTGGCTAATCAGGTAATGCAGCCTTCAAAATAGGAAGTTTTTTTTGTATTTTGTTTTATGTGAAATGCTTCATGCACTTGTGACAAATTCATTATGTAATTTCCTTCTATGATTGATCAAAAAAAGAAAAGTTCTATGTAAAATGGATAGCTAGACTGAACTAGTGGCTTGTTATGATAATATCCCTTTCTATTATATTTGGCAAGATGGGAACTTGTTGAAATCTTATATCTTGGAAGTGATAGCCTGTTTATCTCTATTTTTCTTCACCCAAAGCAAGGGTGAACTGCCAACCAAACCTACTCTTGGGAACAATGATTTGGGCATTCGTATATCAAAATGTGTGCTCCCAAAGCAACAATCTTCTAACCATTATCCCTGAACCTAAATCCCCACAAATAAAAGCCATATATTTGCCGCATAGAATGTAAAGATGAACACATACACATGACGTGATTACTCGCAAATGATTTCTTTGTAATGATGTCATGGATACCTATGCATTATCAATTTGCAAGTATTGATGACTAGTGCGATTCATATGGTATTTGTGGTTGTGAAGTAACGAAAGGCAAGAAGATATGGTATAATGTAAACTTATTAAAATGAAATGGTAATCAACTTCAGGGTTTGATGCTATCACATACTATTGGGATTATATGCAGTCTGAACAGCATAAATAATGCAAAAAATGTTTTGGTAAGATAGGGACTTGGGAGGTGGTACTAAAGGAAAAGCATGAATTTTGTCTTGGGGGCACATGGATTAGGACAATGCATCGTTGCTGGAATGGGAAATGGGGAACCATCCATAGTATTTATCCATTTTTGGTTTCTTATGCATGAACTATATTGAGCAGTCCTATTGTGTTTTCTACTGGGAATCTTCTGTGTCAACATAATTTTCTAAACTTCCAGTTTAGTGTGAGATGCTATGCATAGATTTAGTGCATTTTATTTTGTTCTTTTATCCTTGGGAGTTGATTACTCAAAATTTAGGAATATTTCACTGCATAGATTTGCAATAAATATTTTTTCCATTAAACTTATTCATTATTACCTTGTAAGCTTTCAAGTTTATTTTTAATTTATCAAAATTTTTTATTCTGGAATGAAGTTTGTATTCAAAGCACTCTATTATACATGAAGCTGAATTTGTTGTGTTTATTGGTGCTAAATTATTTTCTATTTCCATTTCTGCTGATAAATGTGTGAATTGGGTAATTGTTTGAACAGGAAGTTTTGCTGTGGATCAAGTCTCTGGTGGAGGAGTGTGGGGAAAACGTAACAAAGGAACAGTTAAAGGACTATGTGTGGAAAACATTGAACAGTGGCAAGGTGGGTTCCTATCACCTGGCTACCTGTTGTTTTTTATTTCTTCCCTGGAGATTGCAGTATGCTATAATCTAGTGGACTATGGAAAACCATAATCTATTGGGTTCTTCACCATCCAATGAAGTGATGGGCGATAACCATTTCATTAGACAGTAACGACCCCACTGCTTTAGACTCTGGTTTCCTGTCCATTGCACTATGGTATGCTTAAATTGAGTTCTTAATTTCTCCTGGCTCTGGCTTTGAAACTCTGATGTTTATCTCTGTAGGTTGTTCCTGGTTTTGGCCATGGAATTCTTCGTAAGACAGATCCAAGATACACATGTCAAAGGGAATTTGCCTTGAAGCATTTGCCTGATGATCCCCTTTTCCAGCTGGTTCATTTCCTAGACCTGCAACTATTTGTTCGAAGGGATTAATTTTCTCTTAGGGAGCTCCTGGAATTATCTGAAATTGATTCATTTTATTATTATCTTTGTCTAGGTTTCGCAGCTTTATGAAGTTGTTCCTCCTATACTCACTGAACTGGGGAAGGTAAGAGAAAATTCACGAGTAAAGAAAGAAAAATTGTTATGTTTTCCTTTCAAGGTAAAGCTAATGTAAAAGAAAAGACATTTCAGAAAAAAAAAACGAGGGAAATTGATAAAAATTAACCATAGGAGATTACCTATTTAACACTTTACCCATATCTTTTGATTTTCTTTCAAATTACCCATAAAAAACAAATGATCATGAGTTGGAATAGTTCCAAATGGGTAAATTATTAAATAGTTCATCTCTCATTGGCGTATCCCGTCCCCGTGGAAGAGACCCTATAATCATTGCCCATTTAAACAGGGCATATTAGTGGGACATAAAAAAGATCCAAAGCCAGGTGTTAAGGTTTCTTTATGGGATGTGTAGTTCCTCTTCTTTACATGGGAAGCAGAGAGTGAGAAGAGAAGAGGAAGACTTCTTATAGGTTGATCCAGAGCCTTTTTGAGATAGAAAAGCCTAAAAGAGATATAGCCCAAGATATAGAATAAGCCTCTTGGAGAAGAAAGAGGCCAAGGGAAGGAAAACCTAGAGAGAAAAAGTCTCTAGAAGAAGTTAGAGAGACTTGTAACCCAAGAGGGAGCTTCCTTTTGGAAGAAGGTTGTAGATCCGTTATTTTTAGTGGATTGATTATCAACCACGTAAATCTCGTGTCAAGTGTTTTTTATTTATTTGTTTATTTGCATGTCTTTTCAACTCATACGCACACACACAAAGTATTTGGTGCCATGTCAGTATGAGTTCTATTGCACGCATCCACATATTTGTGAGTGGGCTCGAATGGGTGAACCTAACAAAGTGGTATCATAGCGTGTTTCCCTTGACGCCGATACACCGCCAATCATCTGGTTCACCTTTTGTCGGTGTATTGAGCCTAGAGGTCGTAGCTATTGTAGGACGAGCAAAAAAGAAACCTCCAATTAGGCCGCATCCTTTTGACTATCAAGAATGGAGTTTTTGGGACATAACGTCAGTTAGAGACCATTGGTGAGTGGCCACTATGCAAAGAAGGTCTTTACCGCTGGTAACTATTTTGACCACTAGTCACGACCTTGACTAACAATAAACCACTCTTACCACCAGTCACATCTTGACAGCCGGTGGGACCTTGACGGCCGATGACATCTTGACCGTTGATGATAAATTGACAACCGGTGGGACCTTGACTGCTAATGACACTTTGACTGCCGATGACAACTTGATAGCCGGTAGGACCTTTTGGTGACCGGTGAATGCTTAACTAGTGAGAGGAAAAAAAGTGTGGGAGGGGAGAGGCGGTGTAGAGGATTGTTGTGTATGTGCATCAAAGATGGATTTCAGTACGAAGAGTAGGATAATTTCACTCAACATGAATAAGAAGCCAAAGATGGAAGATCATCTATATTGTAGGGACTTGTACACGCCCATCAAAGGGTAGAACACGACCCCGCAGGTATGATTGATGAAGAGTGGAAGAAGCTAGACCGAAAGGCTCTTGAAACTATCTGATAATAGTTGGAAAAAGTTGTGTTCCACAAGGCGTCGAGTGAGACATCGGCTAAGTCCTTGTGAAACAAGCTACATGACTTGTATGAGAGAAAAATTGCCGGGAATAAGGGGTTCTTGATTTGCAAGTTAGTAACTTAGAGTTCAGGGACGGGGATTCCATAGCAGAGTACTTGAATGAGGTGCATGGAATTGTTAAGCAACGCAATGATGAAGATGTCCCTAGATGATGAGCTGTAGGTTTTATTGTTGCAGTGTTCACTATTGGACAGTTGGGAGACTGTTGTAATCTCCCTATGGAACTAAGCATCTAAGGGGAAAGTGACCATGAGTCAAGTCACTAGCAACTTATAGAATGAGGAGATGAGAAGAAGATCCTCCTACACATCCATCTCGCAATATCTTGTCACAAATCAAAGAATATCCAGGAATAGGGACCAAAATCGATCTAAGGATAAAGCTATATTGAAGTCGAGAAAGGGGTCACATATTTTCATTGTGGCAAGAATGGGCACAAGAAAGAGTGGCGAAAGCTCAAGGAGGAGCAGAATGAGGACAATCCCAAGAACATTGGCAGGGAAACCACTTTAGTGACCATAGATATTGGCGTGATCAGAGATTGTGGTGACAGGTGCACCAATATTGCATCAAGTGCATACAACTCTGACTAGGTTGTAGAGACTGGTGCATTGTTTCATGCTATCCCACATAAACAATATTTTGCTTCTTACAGAATAGGGACTTGACTCTGTAAAGATGGGGAACAATGGCTCCTAAAAAATTGTGGGTAAAAGAGATGTACACATCAAGACTAACATTGCGATGAAGCTAGTACTGAAGGACATCAGATATGTATCAGTTATCTGTATAAACATCATCTCAGGGGGGTACTTTTCTCAGAGTTACGCAAAGGACACTAGAAGTTGACAAAGGGATCTCTTGTCATAACAAAGGGCAAAAAGTGTGATTCGCTCTTCATAATACAGGTGCAAGTCTCCAATGACAAAGTTAATGCCACCCTGGAAGAACTTTCACTAGACTTGTGGCATAGGCGTCTTGGCCATACGAGTGAAAAAGGAATGCACATCTTAGTAAAGAAGTAGATTGTCCTAAGTATCAAGCATACAACTCTGACTGACCACTCTTTGCTAGGCAAAGAACATAGAGCCTTGTTTACTAATAAGAGTTCTAAAGATACAAAAATCCTAGATCTGGTACATTCATATGTGTGTGGTCCAATGAATGTGAAATTACTCAGTGGCGCCTTATATTTCTTACTTTTATTGATGATGCTCCAATAAAGGCGTGGGTGTACTTGATGAAATCAAAAGATCAAGTATTTGAGTTCTTTTAGAATTTCCACGCTAAGGTGAAAAGGGAGACAAGCGAGCTGTTGAAGTGTCTTCGATTGGACAATGGGAAAGAGTACACATCGAATGCTTTCAAAAGCTAATGTGCCAAGCATGGCATAAGGTACAAGATAATAGTTTCGTATATCTTTCAGCATAATGGTGTAGCAGAGAGAATGCATTACGCCATTATGGAGAGAAGTAGGAGCATGCCATCCGCCGCTAAATTACCAGAGTCGTATTAGAGTAAAGCAATCCTCACATAATATTACCTAATAAACGGATCCCCATCAGTTCCTCTGGATAATGATATCCTTGAGAAAGTTAGGACCGGAAAAGATACCTCTTATTCACGCTTGAGGGTATTCGAGTGCAGGGCATTTGTGCACGCGCCCAAGGAACAAAGATCCATATTGGATGAGAAAGCACTCTTATGCTCAGGGTACTCTGATGAAGAGTTCGACTACAGGCTATGGGATCCTGAGAACAAGATAGTGATTAACAGAAGGAATATGGTCATTCAAGAAGACGTAACCATTAAGTACGTAAAGAAGTCAGAAAAGCTACAAGTCTTCAATGATCCACCATGGTGTGTGATGAAAGAAGGGGAGAAGTGCGATAAGAGGATGAGTCCAAGAGTATGACATGCCAATTCTAAGTGATTTGGAGTAGGCGAAGCAACTTGTTCTAGAAGTGCTACCTACAATTGAACTGAGGTCTTTTAGGGGACGTAAATGCTCTAAGGTTCTAACAAATACCCTGCATTAGTGTCTTATATATTGAACGGGGTGAAACAGAAAGCTACCAAGAAGCTCAAGTTGATGAACACAAAGAGGACAGGATTGAAGCTATGCAAGAGGAAATTGAATCTTTGCATAAGAACCACACCTATGAGTTGGTAAATTTGCCGAAAGGCAAAAAGGCCCTGAAGAACTAGGAGGTAGTCAAGCTAAAGACTGAAGAAAAGAGCTCACAACAAGGTACAATGTTGGGTTGCTTGTGAAAGGTTTTAGGTAAAAGAAGGGCATAAAGCCATCAACTATGATGAAATCCTTTCTCCCATGGTGAGAATGTTATTAATTCGTATGGTGTTAGGCATGGTTGCAAGCTTCAATCTAGAGATTGAGTAGCTAGATGTCAAGACTGTCTTTTCTCAATAGTTTGGAGGAAGAGATATATCTGGAGTAGCTATAAGGATTCAAGGTGAAAGGGAAAGAGCACATGGTTTGCAAGCTGAAGAAGAACCTATACAGATTGAAATAGTCCCAAGACAATGGTACAAGAAGTTCAATTCCTTTACGGGGAATCATGGGATAAAAGAACAACCTCAAACTATTGTGTATTTGTCAAGAAGCTCTCTGATGATGATTCTATCATCCTTTGGTTGTATGTTGATGACATGCTCATTGTCGATCTGAATATTATGCCTTTGCCACAAAGGACTTAGGACCTACTTAACGGATCTTGGGCATGATGATCTCTCAAGACAGGAAGGCTTGGGAGCCAGGTTGTCACAAGAAGGATACTTTAAGAAAGTACTCAAAAGGTTCAGCATGAACAAGGTGAAACCTATCGGTTCCCCACTTGGTTTCCAATTCAAGTTAAGTGACAAGCAGAACTCTTCAAATGAAAAGAGGAAGGAAGAAATGTAAAAAATTCCATATGCATTGGCCATAAGAAGTTTGATGTTTGTCATGGTGTGTACAAAGCTGGATATTGCACATGCAATTGGCGCCATGAGCAGATTCATGTTAAATCCTGGCAAGGAATATTGGGCAGCAGTCAAGTGGATTTCCATATATCTAAGAGGGACATCCAAAAGTGTCTTTAAGCTTTGGGGGAGGTCAACCTATGCTACAGGGGTATGCATACACATAGATAGCTGGAGATATAGACTCCAAAAAGTCAATCTCGGGATACAAGTTCACTTTTGCAAGGAGAGTTCTATCATGGCAGCCCTGGCAACAAGAGAGGCGGAGTATATTGCAGTCACATAAGCCTGCAAGGAGATGTTATGGATGAAGAGATTCCTCCAAGAGTTGGGCTTGAAACAGAATATGTATATCCTCAATTGTGACAGTCAAAGTGCTATCCACTTGAAAAAGAATGTTAGTTGTTATTCAAGGACGAAGCACATTGATATGTATTATTATTGGATTCAGGATGCCCAAGAGAAGAGAAGATCTATACCGACAAGAATATACCAGATATATGATGATGAAGACCTTGGTCGGAGACAAGCAGCAGTTATATAGAAGCACGGCTGGCATGGGTGCCAACTAAGCACCAGGTTGATCTGCAAAAAAAAAAACCTCCCTTATGGGAGGAGAGGGGGATTGTTGGGGTATCCCGTCCTATCTGGAAGGGACCCCATAATCATTGCCCATTTAAAAGAGGCATACTAATGAAACATTAATTGGTGACTTGTTGCAAGGCAAGTCATTTGTGGGACATAAAAGAGACCTAGTGTGAGGGAGGGGTTACGTTTTTTTTATGGGATGTACAATTCCTCTTTTTTATGTGGGGGTGAGAGAGAGAGAGTTATTGTGGGTTGATGCAAAGCCTCTTGGAGAAAGAAAAACCTAAGAGACCGATAACCCAAGATAGAGAACAAGCCTCTTTGAGAAGAAAGAGCCTAAAGGGAGGGAAAACCTGGAGAGAAAATGCCTCTAGAGGAAGTCAAAGACTTGTAACCAAAAGCGAGTCTGCCTCTTGGAAGAAGGTTGTAACTCTATTATTTTTAGTGAATTAATTATTTCTTTCTTCCGTGGACGTAGCTTAAAAGGTGAATCGTATTTTCGTGTCTAATATTTTATTTAGTACGTTGCTTATTTGTATGTCTTTTCTACTTATACACGCACACACAAAGTATTTGGTGTATTGTCCCATAAGAGTGTGGGTTCCATTACTCACATCCCTATATTTACGAGTGGGCTCGTTCAAGTGAGCCCGACACTCTCATAGGTATATTAATACATTTCTCTAAAAATAGTAGGGAAAAAAAAAGACGCGAGAAAAGGAGGAAAAGAGTGCAGCTAAAAAAGTGATCCAAAAATTTTAGGATAGAAATTCGAAAGAAAAAAAATTTCACAAATATGAGAGAGAGAGAGGGAGAGATGAGGGTCATTAACTTCAGAAGTTCTTATGTCAGATTGAGCCGTTGATGATTAGAGAGAAAGAGAGAGTCACGAATCAAACTAAAGAAAATTTACTTTTCTTTCGCAAATCAACACAATAAGTAGTTTCTTCACTTACTTGGATTTGTGACTGAATTAGAATGGAGAATAAGATGAACAATTCACGATGTTTTTGCAGGTCAGGAACCCGTGGCCGAATGTGGACGCCCATAGTGGAATATTGCTAAACCATTTCGGACTGACTGAAGCCAGGTAAATGACACTACCGAAATCCAAAATTCTCTTAACTTGGTATCACTTGATATCAGAAAGCATGAAATGTGTTGGATTGTCTATAATTCCAGATAGAATAAACCCTTCCCTCTATACGAGTTTGCTAAGCTAAATTGCCTCACGTTTTTACAAGGACACAAACACTTACAGGATTAGATTACTGACATTTGGGTTTGCATGTGTATGTATTGCCTATTTTTAAAATCAGCATGAGTAGCAGTGAGTGAGAGCGAGAGAGAGAGAGAGGAGAGAGGTGGGCTAGAGAACAACAAATTGATTACACATCATGAAATTACTGTCTTGGCAGGTATTACACTGTTCTTTTTGGAGTCTCAAGAAGCATGGGAATCTGTTCACAGGTTTTCACTACCCTCTTTCCTTCCGATGTTTATTTCACAAGTATTAAATATAGAAAAAAATTTATATAAGGTTGGGGCCCTAAACAATCAGCACACCCTCAAATCTGATTATCTAGACCTTGAGATACATGAACTTAAAAAAGTGAACTTTAAGTTTTGGAAATAGTACATTATATAATGCATTTTTTAGACCATCGATTTTAAAGATTTTCAAGCGTTCATAGATTGATGTACTTTATTTTTTAAGCTTTAAATTTTATAATTAGATATTAAAATAAATTTTCAGGTCATCATAAAAATTTTCGAAACTAAAACGACATCTTTCAACACTATTTAAAAGTGCACCTTACTTTGATCATTTAGGGCATTAGCCTTATACAAACCACACCCTTTAATTATATGGTGTTTGTTCTTTTGACCCTGTCATTGTGGATGCAGTTGATATGGGATCGGGCTCTCGGATTGCCTCTGGAGAGGCCAAAAAGTGTGACAACAGAGTGGCTCGAAAATTACTGCAAGAAAGCAGCATCTTAAGGCTTTGTTATTTTATAATCCAATAATAATTATAACAATAATCTGATGGTTTGGAGCCATGTTCAATGTATTTTGTGCGATTCAAATACTATTGATTGGTTTTCTCCAAGTAACAGGAGAAAAATAAAGAGCTTCTTTGAGATATGGGCCCGAGGTTGGGGTGGTCAGGATGGAGGAGCCACAACCTGACTTTGCGGGTTCCATTGCTACCGACAACATAGCCGTTTACATGCCAAAACCAAAAAAAGGTTCTCTCACGGCTATGATGTCGGCAACACTATAAGGAAAAAGTATACAAGAAGACTATTTATATTAGGATGTTTAGTCTCGAATGAGAATTTATATCGTGGTGTAATATTATTGTAAAAGAGATGAGGTTTACATTGAGCCTGCCATATTAAATGGGCAATGTGTTGTAGTTCATCCTTATCGATAAGAAAACATCTAATTATTACTAGATGGATAATTTGAAAAAGAGTTTAATTTGAGCTCCTAAAGGATTGAATCTAGTCGCTCATGATTATCGATAAGAAAACATCTAATTATTACTAGATGGATAATTTGAAAAAGAGTTTAATTTGAGTTCTTAAAGGATTGAATCGAGCCGCTCATGAAATGGATATGCATTTATAGTTCATAATAACGATTTATCAGGGTTTTTAGAATATTTTTCATTGGACACTTTGCTTAGGCCAGGAAGATACCTGTGCGAACTTTGGGGTGAACCAAACGCCTGGCAAACAAGATTATGGAAGAAAAAGATAAATTTATTAATGTTCAAAAATAAAAAACCAAAAACGAATATTTTTTTAAAGAAAAATTTACTGAACTTTCTACTATAGGAAAAATAAAAATTGTGTTAGACTAGGCTCCAAAAGAAATTGTTTGTTGCCAAATTTTACCGGTTACATCATCATCAATGATATTTTAAGAAATTGATGAGTCATGAATAATTTAAAAACTTGAAAAATGATGAACAACACAAAAAACACGATGTCTCATCTAAAAACTATTTTTTTTAATGTTTTGTACAAATCATTTGACACTAAATTTGAGGTGGCCAATCCTCTCGCACCTAGGAACAAAAAAATTTTATATATAAATAATGTGACCAAAATGCCCCTGTTTAGGTACAGTTTGGTCTTTTTATTTTCATGAAAATATTTTTTTAAATGTGCCCCATTGAAATGACTACATGCACTTAATTAAATAAAAATAAAAAATTAAATACTCTCAACCGTCATATCTAGATCAAATTGTCAAGACTCACTTATTATTGAGGCCCCATGGCTGAGAGAGGGTGGCATATGTAGATACCCTATTCCTCGTGGCATATAGAAAGCTTTAATAATATAAATACTTTTTTACTGTTAGTGTTGGTCTATCTGCCGGACTTTTAGGTTAACTATGGTGTGCACCCGCGGTTTGTATAGAGCCAAGGGTTTAAACAATCAAAGTAAAGTGTACCTTTAAATAGTGTTAAGAAAAGTGATTTCAATACTGAAAATATTTGTGATAGCCTTAAAATATATTTTCATCTTTACTTATAAAATTTAGAGCTTCAAAAACAGTATAGATTGAGCATATTTAGAAAAACTTGAAAATCTAGAAAATTGTTGGTCTAAAAATACGTTACAAGATGTATTATTTTCAAAACTTGAAATTTAAAGATATTTGGGCACCAAAACAACTTCTTTTAGTGAAATTTTTGAAGTGGGCTCTAATTTGATTGTTTAGAGCCTCGGCTCTATATAAATTCTTTCCTAGAATCCAAAACTTATTAGTACTTAATAAATATTGACTTGCTAAATAGCATTAATCTCCCCCTTGCTTTTAGTACCTACCCGTACGAGGATGTTTAAAACGGCAATTAACTTTCTCACCCTTGCTTTTAGTACCTACCGGTACCAGGATGTTTAAAACCGGAATTAACTTTCTCAGGATCTCTCTTTGCTGCCGTTCCTATCTTGAAAATTGAACTTTAACCCAAAAAAGAAAAAGGGAAATAAGAGTTAAAAATGGAAATATCAGCCTTGGGAATGTGCTCGATATTTCTTTTGGTCATGTGTTGTACTGATAATATTGCAAAGAGGTGCGTCTCTCGGGCAGTTTTGGAAGTCAGCAGAAAGATCTTTGTAATACTGCTCCTCAGAGCTGACCCGCTGTAATACGTGTTGATTAATAGAAGGAAAAAGTTTATTTTAGGGTGGAAGCTCTAAACAACCAAATTAAGACACACGATAAAATTCCATTAGAAGAAGTTATTTCGATGTTGAAAAACACTCAAATTGATCATCTCAACCTTGAGATGCATAGACTGTGAAAAAAAATGGATTTCAAGTTTGAGAAATAGTGTATCTTGTAATGCATTATTTTGACAGCCAATTTTTAATATTTTCAAGTGTTTATAGGTCTACCCGATCTATATTATTTTTTAAGCTTTAAATTTTATAATTATATATGAAAATACATTTTTAGGTTATCACAAAAATCTTTGCTACTTAAAAGTCATATTTTGACATTATTTAGAGGTGTTCTTTACTTTGATGTTAAACCACTCTCAATAAAATTTCAGTAGTATTTTTTTTTAAAAAAAAAATTACTTTTCTTTACCAGTTTAGTGGTTAGGTCAAGTACGTTAAATCCCAAAAATCAAAGTATAGATAAGACACATACTTCATCCAAGTGAGTAAATAAACAGCCTACTCCGGCACTACCATCAAATCTTTTTGATGCTTTTTGACCTCCAATCTGTACGGTTAACGAGGTCCCAGCGATACCACACATCCACTCATTTACATTCGATTACACAATCTATATCCATCTGTCACCAAGTAAACATAAAAACAATAATAAATACAAAGATCTCCATGCCCACAAAATATTCATATAATTACTTTTTCTTTTATTAATAAAAAAGAATCACACAATTGGCACCTTCAGTTTTGCGTTACCTCAACGCCCCTTGAAACGCGGTTTCGAAGCGCCTATAAAATCCCCTTCAAACTCCTCATTCTCTCTCATCCATCGCACCTCTCTTTCTCTCTCTAGGTTTATGGGCATTTGTAGTATTTGGGATGTGTTCTAATCTTCTCTTCGTGCCTTGTTTCTCTCTCTAAGCCCCTATTCCTCTCTCTATCTTTTGTTGAAGCAAGCATTGAGAGCAGGGTAGAGAGAGAGAAAGGGGACTGGTTGAAGCAGTAAGGGTAGGGCAGAGAGAGAAAGAGAAAGAGAGATGGGGAAATATGTTGAGATGCTGGATGCCGGCTTTCGCATAGCGGCCAGGTTTCATGGTCATTGTCCCCAAACCGGTCGAATGTATTACAAGCCTCCGGCTTCGAAATCCAAAAATGAGGAGGGGGAGGTCGCCGGAAAAGACAGCGGTGACGGGAAATTGACTTCTGGCTGCAGGAATGACGCAGCCTTGGAGTCTATGGAGGTTATTTATTCCATTGCCTGAGCTTCGAAATATGCGAGGCTCTGAGACCCATTCATATGATTTTGGTCGTATTTTTTCTTTTTAACGGTTTCGAATTGGTAAAAGAAGCCAAAATAACCGGAAAACAAATGAATGCATAATATAAGAGAGCCTCTGATGATTATTTCTTTTTTTTGGCTTTGGATGATTAATGAGTATGGGATTCTTAGGAGGGGGTCAGAAATGGCCTCCGACGATTATTTCTTTTTTTTGGCTTTGGATGATAAATGAGTATGGGATTCTTAGGAGGGGATCAGAAATGGCGTTTTCGGTTCGATTGAAAAGACATTGTGCAAATTCGATTCTTAGGAGGGGATCAGAAATGGCGTTTTCGGTTGGATTGAAAAGACATTGTGCAAATTCTCCCTCTCTCTATATTTTTTTTTTTTTTTTTTGTAATTTGCGGGAATTATATACAGCTACCTGTTTTCCAAAAGTGTTATGGGGATTGAAGAGCACGATACTGAAGTATGAGCCCCTTTCCCTTTTTGTTTGACAGGGAACCTCTCTTGATGTCTCTCAAGCTCTCTCTCACACACAGATCATCAGGCAATCTCTCTCTTTTCCCCATTGGCTGGTCACTCTCTCGCTCAAATTCTCTCTCCTGAATGAGGATTAATCCGTCTTTCTCCCTAGGAAAATCTATTTCACTAGATCGTTCTAGTTGAGATTAAATCACTAGCGGCGGTAATCATTTGTTTTAAAATTTATCAATCCTGATGGGGAATACCCTATCTTACATAAATGTGTGTTTATTTGGGATACATGTATGAGTATATAAGTTTGCATATATGCGCCTGTCTATAGATACATATATTTAAAGGGAAAGGTTTCTATACTTTCCCTATAGCATACAAGATCTATGCTTCCCCTATAGCATACAAGATCTATGCTTCCCTTACCATCCTGCAGTCCAATTTTGATCAAAAGAGTCCCTCATTGTTTGATCTTAGATCTGATGTCTCAAAGTAGTTTATTTTTAGTTTTTTTATATAAATTTTATGAATATGAAATTTGGTACATGTCATCTTCTCATTAGGACGCACCTATAAAAAATATTAAAAATAATTTTTCGATAAAATATAATAACCAAAATACCCTTTGAAACTTTTAAGAGTATTTTAGTTATTTTATTTTATTAGAAATGTTTTTTTTATATTTTTTGCTAATGTGAGTTTAATAGAGGATTGGACGTACAAAATTTTGTTGTAGAGGAAGCATAGAAAGCTTGCCTATATTTAAAACAGGAAAGCATAAAATGTGACTATTTACCTTTAATACAAGGTAGTCACATTAATCTTGACAATTGGATGTGTTAGTGGGTGGATGCAATTATTCCATTGATCAAGCTCAAACTTTAAAAGAAATTTTTTTGAATCTTGTGACATATCCAAGCTATCGAATTTCACATCAAATGGTTCGAAAGAATTGTGACCACGTTGTAGCAAAGGTTGTCTCATTGTATACTTTTCCATCCATTAGTCAAGACTAATTCTTACCACTTTGTACTAAAAATAAATGATCTCACTGTATACTTTTTCATTAAACATTTCATATGTGATAACAATAGTAAAGAAGTTAAAGGGTAAATTCTATAAAACAGCTGTGAGACTAGCTTTACTTTATGGGGTAGAATGTCGGGCAGTTAAAAAACACATTTATTGTATGACCATTGAATGAAGCCCCAATGTATACATCCAAGATTTTATGATCACGCCACTCGCACGCTCACTATAATATAAATTTTTATTCTAAATTATTTTTATTATAAAATATATTTTATTTTTAAAATAACCTATTATTTATTGAAATGTGGCATTTCTAAATAAAGAATCACCAAATTCATTGAAATGTGGTGTTTCTAAATAAAGAAGCACCAAATTCAAAAATCGAACATTCAAAAAGAGACACGACATTAACAATCTATAGAAGTGTCGTATGGATTTCTAAAAGTACTGATATGTATTTTTGTATCAACCAATCGA